TAATATTTGCCCTAATGTACTAGAAAGAACATACCGGTATATATTTGTGGATTTATTACATAAAAAATTTCTTCTTCTGATTGCAATAATGATGGAGGACCTTTTGGCTGTCTAACATGTTCTACTGTTTGTGGTGCAGATACTTGTACTTGCTGGACTATTTGTGATTAGAAATCAGCTTTTTGTTTTTCTAATAAAGACTGATATTCAGGTTTTTGCTATGCCAGGGTGTTTTGAATTGCTTTTTGCATATCTTCTAAAGAAATTCCTTGCTGTTGAGAAGCTGAAATGGGTAAGGGTTCATATATTTCTTAAGATGCTCACTGAGAAACTAATGGATTGGGTATTCTATTTCTTTTATGTCTTGCTATTCAGCATAATTCTATCTCATAAAGCTTTTTAGCTAATTTATCCAATGGCAAATGTTCACTGATATCCTCAGTTTTTTCAAGTCATGGAAGTGAAAGAGCATCTAAGAACTTTCTACATAATTCTTCGGGCCTATAGTTGGCTCGTCTACCTATTCATAATATTTTTCTATATAATTTATCTATAGTCATATTCACCTTTCTGATTGTTCCATATATCATATTCTGAAGCTCCTCTTCTACTGTAGGAAAATGAGTTTTTAACTACTATATGGCCTAACCAAAACAAATTTCAGATACAACTACAGTATTACCAGCATTAGCATTGAGAGCATTTGAAGCATTATTAGTAGATCAGCCTTCCATTATATACCAGTCTTCATCCCAAGGACCTTCTATGCTCTTAACTTAATTATTGTATTTCCTGACTGATTAAGGGCCTTGTTTATTCTATTAGCTCCTATCTGAATAGCTGTATATCCATTTACAGCTACTATGTTAGCTTGCCCCATATTATCAAGTAAGTTTGCTAATTCCTAATTTTGCTTTGTAGTAATTTCTTTATCAAACCATTCTAAAGTTCTTCCTCTTATACAGCCTCTTAAATATCCCATAGCTACTCTCTTCTTGTTGGTGGACCTCCTGCATTATCTGCTGGATTTACATCTTGGTTTTGCAAGTATAATCTTAGCTTCACAAGAAAATCTGAGATATTGTCACTCTAGTCAAAAAATGGTTGTGGTATTCCTGCCATATTTCTTCGATTCTGTTGATTATTATGTAGCACCAAAATTTGTTGATTTAAATTTAAATTATTCTGACGCTCTGTATGAGTTTTATTTTTCCATTTGGTGTATTGATTATTTGTAAGATTTAAGAGATGTGTAGTAATTGCTCTATCTGTTCTACAATCTTGTAAAAAGAGGATATTTCACTGATACAATAACTGGAAGGCAAAATTTTTATATAGCAATTCACTGATGCAGGTTTTTTTTCTTGCCATATTATCTATCATTCTATTCACTTGGTTTTGTGCATTAGTCTGTAATTGATGAAGATCAAGCAATGTCTGATCTCGCTCTTGCTTGTATGTATCTTGGTGCTATTGTTCATTTACCAGATCTTGTTGCAGGTTAGTATATTTTCGACGTATATGTCTTGTTGATCTTTTAATTTGATTTGTTAAAATCGTTCTACATATTGTTGTATTATCTAGAGATCAGTCTATAGCATCAGCCAATTCAGCTATTATACCCATATTATCATTAGAATTATACAAGTCTAGAGAATTTTCATCAGAATCAGATTTGTTTTCGCCAAAATTTCATGCCTGTGCATTTTGTAAAGCCTCTTGTGTATTTCTAAGTTCTAATCTATCTCGATATCTTAATAATGCTAATGCAAAATTTTGACAAAGCAGGTCTGTAATATGATTTTTTTGCTGATTTATTTTATTAATCCTGTTTATTTAATTAACCCTTATTGTATTTATTTCTCATTTAAAGTATTTATTTTTATTTACTAATCTGGTTGTATAATCTTGTGCTTTAGGCATATTTCTAGCTGATTTAGATATCTCTCGTATTCGGGTTTTTAATTTTGTTTCGTGTTCATTGAATTCTGATATTAATCTATCTTTACTAGAAATTTCTTTGTCTTTCCTTTTATTTTCTTCCTTGAGTTGGTGAATAATTCTTTTTAATTTTGAAATTTCTTCTATTAATTCTTCTTTTTCTTGTATAGAGACTTTGATAGCATTATTTAACTCTTCTTCAAGAAAATGTATTTTCTCTTTCCATATTTCAATAATTCTTTCTAAGGTATATAAACGTTGTTCGAAATTCCTTCTTGATTCTGCTAATTGAGATACTACTTTATGGAGTTTTTGATTACTTTGCTGTAATTTCTCTATGTTTTTTTACTATAGTATAATGAAAAAACCTTTAATTTATATTGATTCACAAAAAGCCTATGAACTCGATCAAGAAATCACTAAGAGTAAAAAAGTTAAAGATCAAAATTTGGCATTACAAAAACCTACGATTCTTATTGATTCCCAAAAAGCATGTAATCTTGACCGATATTTTGCCTTACAGAAGCTGTATTATCAGCCCAAGGGTCTCTATCAAAATGTTAAAGGATTGTGGGATGCTTGTAAGAAAGCTGGCTACAACTTTCTTTTTAATGATGTAAAAAAATGACTTGATGGCCAAGCAATATATCAAATTTTTCATTCTCTGCCAAAGAATATATCTTATGCCAGTTACTCTAAAATTACAAAACTGAATTCTGTACATCAGTGTAATTTAATTAAAATACTATATGATGAAGATGTAGATACAGGTTTGTTGGATAATGGCCCAATATTTTACTATGTACTATTGGTTATAGACTGTGTGACTAGATATAAAGATTTTGTTTTTTTAGCATCAAAAAGTAGTAAAGAAGTCGCGAAAGCATTTAAGAGTATATATAATAATCCCGATAAGCCTCTCAACTGGCCTCTAAAACTACAATGTGATAAGGGCACTAAGTTTATGGAATATGTGATTTTATTAATAGATGAATATGGTGTTGAGATCCAAAGAATTATAGCACATTTCAGGCATACAAGCTTGGCTATAGTTGATCGTTATGTCGGATTATTCGAATTAAGAGTTTTTAAAAATTAATATGCGATAAAGTTTCTCTTACCTACTGGCGAATGCTGTAGAGAATGTGAATGATTTGCAAGAAGAATTGTTGATAACATGAATAATACTACTACTCGGTTAATTGAAATGAGTCCCAATAAGGCCACAAAACTTGAGCAAGTGTATTTCAAACTATCGATAAAATATAATTGCCCGATAGGTGTTGATGAACTGCGACTATAAAAGGGTACTACTATCCGATTTTTGCTTGCTTCTGGAGAATGAGAAAATAATCTTTTCAAATGACATAGAATAACAGATCCAATATGGTCTTCTAGTCTGCATAAGAACTAGAGAATTGTTGTTAGAAAGAATCCTCCTATGTCTGTTTTATATTACTTGGATGAGTCAGGACCTCGACATCCCTTTGTAAGGGAACAATTAATGCATATTAAGGAAAAGCCTATGTTGCCTTCTAGGTGGGTACTGGGAGATAACCAAATGCATATAAGGCGCTCTTTATAAATATTTCTAAGTCTACTACACAGTAGGGTATAATAATGAGAATCACTTCTTTCTTGTAGCATAACGTCTTCTTTTTCCAATCATGACAAATTTGTGCATCTAGGTTCATCTGCCCTTGCGAATGAAAAAAAGGCATGATTTAATAATGCTGATTACCACTATATTTGAAGGCCAAGCCTAGCTTCTCATTATACCCATCTAGATGTAATCCTTTTAAGAATTTAGGTTTTTGAAGAAGAAATTTTTTATGTAATAAATCCACAAATATATACCGGTATGTTCTTTCTAGTACATTAGGGCAAATATTA